TGCATTTTAAATTGCTGGATTAAAACAGAGACTACACTGCTTTATCTTGCTAAATACTACATGTTCCCTCAAGTTGTAAAAAAATGATGGTATGATTTTAAGGATGCTGGGAAGTTGTGGATGCAAGACTAGAAATTGCTGAAAAGAGATTCTAAGGGTGATGATATATCAATAGCAAAGATTAGAACAAGATTTCATTTGCCCAAGTTTTAAGTAGATGTGCTATTGCATATCAGAATTTTACTCCAAACTAAAGGTCTACTAGGAAACTAGGAAAAGGTGAATCTGGAGAGACTTCAAAGAGAGAACTCGATGACATCAGGGGTATTTACATTGGCAGCAGCATTATGGAATTCACAGTATTTTTAAATTAAGGACATGGCTCAATAATTGCCAGCCCTGTGCACTTACCTATTCTAATTTAAATTTTACATTCTGACATAAACTACCAATCCCAAATATAGACAGCCTGGTCTTTTCTTTGGAACTTGCTACTCAAATACATACAATATGGCAATTCAATTGGGTATGCTTTTATTTTATTAAAAATAGCTGTTTGAAGAGTTCAAGCCAGCCAGTTCAGTACAGTCAATGGCAAATGATAAAACATTTCAAATTACTTGTGTTACCTTTAAGGAACAGAGTAATTTTCAAGAGCCAAACAGAACAAATAATCTAAATGATTAGTTAGCTTTTCTACTAATAAGCTGTATGTAGCTGTCTGATGATTTACTCTCTCATTATTCCATTAATGAAATCAGCTAATAAAACACGAATGAAAAGCCCAAATATTTTGGACAGTCACCAAAGTCCCATGGTGGCTTTATTTCCCAAAATAGAGACTTGACTCCTCGCATGACAGTGACAGCAGATATGACAAACTGAGAGAAAGCAGTTTCTAACTGGTTTACCATGGCCAGCCCCAAACCCTCAGCATTTTAGCTCCTTCCTCCTGTTTTACGTTTGGTTTTCCATGAAAGTAACATGGTGAACATAAAAAGAACAGCAGAGGCAGGGCACACTTGATACCACTCCACAAGATGAAGAGACCAGCTTGCTGGAGCAATGCACTTGTTTAAACCCAGAGAGGTGGGGGAGAGAGGCCAGCAATGAAGGATGTGTACCAATTACTGTTCCACACAGAATCCCATGGAGAGCAATAGTGCAAGAATCCCATTCATTTTGTTGGGATTCATTTATTTCCAAATGTTAAAAGTTACTGCAGCACATAACGTAGGCACAGTAATAACATCACTAGGGTACACTGGCCATTGTAGTTTGGACCATTGTGAAAGAATTTTTTATTGAAAAAAAACCAAACAAAACAAAAATCAACCAAAAAAGACCCCCCAAGCCTGAAAAGTGGGAGGAAGGAGACCAGTATTTAAAGAGATGTGTTGTATAATGTCTGCCACTGAAACCTTTGAAACAGGAAAATCAAATACTCTTTAAATTAAGATATGAATGCTGTCATAAAGTTTCAACATGGAATTAATAGACTGGGGGAGGAAAACATTCTGATAAAGCACTGCTACAGCAAAATACTGGAAAAAATTAAAGTGCACAAGTAGACCTACTGAAACCAGAGGAGCAAGATTTGAAGGTAAAAACATGTCCATGCTTAAATATTGGTTTTTTTTATGTGTTGAGTATCTGCTAATTGTCTTTACAAAAAAATCTGAATGAAGTTTCAGAGAACCTTTTTAAATTTCTTGTGAATTTAAAATCCTCTCCTACCTTAAACTAGGACCTAGAGAATTGAATCTAGGGGGAAGAAAATAAAGATTTATTCTAAATTTTAGATTTACATTTGGTAATTTGTGTTATACCTTATTTCATAAAACAGTTACTAAAGATTTTTCTGGCAAGCAATGGCACAGAATTGGGCATGAAGCGGTCTTGAAAAGGTCACCTACACCAGTATTTCTCAACCTCTTTACATCTAAAGCTCCCCTGAGCCTTTTTGAAAAAAAACCTGAATGGCTGTTTTGAGCAGTGTCATCACAATTCATCTCTGGCCCACTCCAAATCAGGTCTTAACTTCAAACATCTGTAAATTTTCCTCCAGTTTGCTACTGGGGAAACAGCTGCCTGTCAGATATGGCTGGTGACATATGAAGCAGCAAGATGGACTAAATCTGTGTATCTCAATCAGTGGACCATAGGGATGTCACAAGCAGTGGCAAGAAATGTTATCTGAACAAAAGCAGCAAGATGCAGAGATGCCACAATCTCTCCAGCCAAACTATCCTAGGGTTATAAATACCTCAGCCTGGGAAAGATTTTCCTAATACTAAACTTAAACCTTAAGCGAAACAATCCTTTTTACTTTTTGTCCTAATTACAATGGTTTTATGATTATTTACTCTAACCTCCACTCTCCTGGAAGCTATGCTATGACACATGGGAAACAAAGAAGTGGTTGGTGACAGCCAAGGTGGCTTCACCAGGGGCAAATCATGCCTGACAAATTTGGTGGCTTTTTATGGTGGAGATACAGCAGTGGTGGACAGGGGCAGAGCAGACTTGTGCCAAGCATTTGACACTGTCACATGCGACACCCTGGTCTCTCAACTGGAAAGATGTGGATGTGATGGATGGAATTCAGCAGGTTTCCCATGAAACTGAAGGTATACAGATTGGCAAGAAGAGAAGCAATAAACATTGGCAAGCAAAAATTAATGTTCATTTAGAAGATCAATAATCAATAAGAATAAATGCCAAATTCTAAAAGTCTATATATCTATCTACTGCTTCTTTCCTAGCCACAAGGCCTGTCAGAGAAGAAAATTAGATTGTTTTGACATAATTTGGTCTCGAAAAATCTGTGTTGGCTGTTAAAATTGGCATATACAATTTGAGATGTCAAAAGATTTAGATCATTGGAAAGGTAGGGCAAATAATTGAAGCTCTGATGGGTCTAACAAGACTGTCGTAATGAAGAAATCACTCAAAGGAACTTTGTTCAGCAGAGCTGAACCATCAAAACTGGAGCTAATACTCAGCCAACCTGCTAAAAGAGAACTACTTCTACTCTAAATTTATGCACTCTGTGTAGAGGAAAGCATGAACCAAATGTATGTAACACAATATAAATCTCAGAAGAAATTCCCTTCTTTCTGACATTGCTCTTCCTGTATAGCAAACTTGGTGACTGGCAGTACATTTTAATCCAAATATGCGCACATGCAAAATTACAGATACATCTTGCTCCCCCAGCGACTTTATAACATGTTGCTAGGTAACAGTGCATACAAGTCAGGTTTCAAGACCTTTAGTAAGTCACCATAAAATAACTGCATAGGCCTTTTGCATGAATAATATACATTTGTATCCTTTCTCTGATGCCAACAGAGCAGACACTGAAAACATGACTGTCTGCCAAACTGTGAACAGCTTCCCATCAACTGCTACATGAAAAGCCACACACCAAATTGTTGCACGTTCTCACAGCTTTCAGGCTATCCCCTCCCTCTCCTGCACTCTGCTCTCATCCCTGCTGCATGCAGCCACCAGAAGCACCACCCTCTCCAGGCCAGCCCTGCTGATGTGCAGAGCCTCTTCGTGCGCAGCAAGCCGAATTTAAGATCGACACTGGAACAACATGTGTGGGACAGCTGTTGGACAGTGTAAGATGGATTGCATATCATCAAGTCCAAATTTGAAGCTCAAGTAAAGAAATGTGCAGGCAAATCCAAACAGACTCACCCTGCCCGCTTTTTGTCAGTCACAATAATAATTTATATTGACAGATTATTTAATATTTTTTTTCAGGGGGAGGTCCTGTGGCTTCTTCAAACCAAGACAGCAAGCTTTTTGTGCCAGCCCAATTCACCTCCTGCTTGCCCTCAGCTGTTTTCTCTTTTCCTGGCTGGCTCCATGAAGCCTCAGTCTAGATTTCTTGTATTAACCCATTCTACTCAATTCCTCACAGAACTGTGATCCCAGAGGTATAAAGATCTGGGAAGATGAGGAAAGAAAGACTTTCCTAAACAGATGGCTGTGGTTTCACCAAGGCTGGGCATTAAGACAGAACTAATTCCTTCATTTATCTGACAATAAAATTTACTCAAATACAACTTACTTTCCATTTAAAGGAGAAAGTTGACTAATTATTTTCTGTTGTAAAGGTTTTCTCCTAGCTCCAAAGCCTAAAATGTCTCATGGGGACTGAGATCTCCCTGTGAAACAAAAGCTCCTTGAGTGACATTTTCCCTGACTTCCTTCTCTTCAAAAAATTCAAGGCCAATTTCAAAAACATTTGGCACAGAACACCTCCCCAGCATATCAACTGTTCTGAAGTATTCAGTCAAATCAATAAAAGAGCACATAAAATATAACAGATCCACCCTAAACACATCCTACACTTCAGTCTAGCACATGAATATCATTCTCACAGCGATAGTGAAAAAGCACTAAACACGTTTGGCATTAGATATGGATTTCAAGTAAAATAAAAATAATAATTTTTAAAAGTTGTATACGAATCTCTAGGACCACTGTTCTTTAAAAAGTGTTAGCAACAAAACACAAAAGCAGTAACATTCACACTTCCCATGCATTTGCTACACAGGCCTCAAATACTACTTGGAAAGGAAGGTGACCAGTACTTTACTGGTCCCTTTTAACAGGAGGGTAAAGGCAGAAAACTTAAAAACTGAATTTTTTAACATGCTGGGCACTTGGGTGACCCTCAGTGATTTCAAACTAGAACTACAGGTATTCAGTATGCCTGGAAAATGCATCACAAGAGATTTGCCAAGGTAAATGCTACTGAACATGAAAGCCTGGATAAACAGTTCTCACTCCTAATCCCAGCAATTAAACAGCAAAACCCCTCTCCTCTCACTGTTTCCCCTCTGCCCTTCATATACCTCTGCTATCAAAAGAAACAAGAAATTATAAGTTAAGAAGCTACAACATTTTGCTCCTGGCAATTCATTGACTTAGTAAAACCAAGACAAATTGTTTCCTAGCCTATAAAAGAGCTGCTCAATTACCTGACAGCTTCATTAGAAAATCTGATGCCATCTTGACAGAGATGTCTTGGCTGAATAGTGCTGATGCTGTATTGGCCACGAAGTCAGAGGAGTCTTTCAGCTTTGTGTTGTTTGGTGCTCTGTCAACAGTGCTAAGAGCAAAAGGTGCAGCTGGGGCGCCAGCGTCGTCTTTGGGCTCTTCCTTCACCAGCAAAGGCGGAACGCCCCCAGCAGCCTGCCCAGCCACCTCGGGTGTTTTGGATACAGATGCTGATCCTGGCAGGTCAGGCCCTTCCCTCTGTGGTCCCGGGCAGGAGTCACTGTTTAGCTGTGGTGACCCCTTCACCTCAGTTTCTGGCATTTCCTCCTTCACTTTAGACTCTGTCCTGAGGAAATGCTGGTGGCAGCGCATGTGGAGTTTCAGGCTGAAGTGGCGGGAGGAGGTAAAAGGGCACAGCTGGCATTGGAAGGTCTCACCCCTGTCTTGGTGCTGATGAACCTGGTTCAGGAGGTGAAAGATAAAAGCTTGTATTAAGTCAAGTAGATTAACAGAATTGCAGAAATCTCAACTCTGTTTCCCACTGTTTGAAAAAAAAGAAAAAGAAAATATTAACTAATGAGTGAACTTGTCATTGTGAGCACTTGGAAAGTGCTCAGACTCCAAGAACAGTAGGATTCTTTCACACAAGTCAAAGAACATAAGCATCAGACTCAAGTGAAAACAGCAAAAAAAAAAAAGCCAGGAACATCTGTTTCTGCAGCTTGGAAATGATGATGTCTGCTTTGGATCAAACAGTCCTTACAATCAGATCCTGATGACCTGTCAGTGCATAAAGACTTCCAAGCTATAACTAATAGCTTTCTTGATTAAAAAACAAACATCACTCTGTGCAACCTAACTAATAAAAATTGTTCAGAGCAACCCAGCTAAGAAAAGCCCCCAACCAATACAGCAATGTCCACCATTGATTTATGTATCATTAGAGTAAAAACACAGCACCTGGCAGTACCAAGGAGCTATTGAAACAGTGTGCTGCAAATTCATTCTGCCAGAAAATAAACAGCTCTTTTATGATACAATAGAAACATGAGCGATGGTGTCTGCCGTTTATTCTAGTTTATCAGTCAATTAAGGATCACAGTTAATCTTACTGCCCTCATATTTGGGCTGCAGGCTCTTTGTCATGGAGCCTGCAGGCTCCAGCATGAATGCAATGCCTGCCATCCCCAGGCTCGATCCCGATTACCTTTCAGAGGGAGCTCCATCCATCCATACGTAATGGATCAGGTATTATATGAACAGACACACTCATTAAACTATATCAGCTACAGCCATATAATTATACAATGTCTTGCTTCATACAGTACTCATTAAAGGGAAGGAGCAACTGAGCCCAGCAAAATAGCAGCAAGGGTGTTGAAAAATCTTTTCGCTATGGCTTCACAAATAAATTTTAAATCCTGACAGCAGCACTCCAGGCTACTCCCTGCAAAAAGGCTGGCAAATACATACATTTGTTCCTTACTAATGGATGAACACGTGATCAGGACACACTGGCACCAGCTGAGCTCCACACATTCGCTTTCACTTGTGACTCAAGTTGGTTGGAAACATTTCAGTGAGACAGATTTTTGTTGGAAAATGGCAATTTGTTGAATGCAAAATATTTCACCTGAAACATGGAGGGGTTTGATGAACTCCTGGCAAACAAGGTGTGATTCCCTTACCCTACTGAGTGGCACTCTTCCTTCCTCCTGCTCCCTGGGCTTGGCTCAGAAGAAGCCAGATGTGCCAGGGATCTAAGGTTTGCTGCTACAGCTTAGGAGTCCAAAAACCCTGAGGGCTGCAAATCTACACCAGGGAGCTTGGAAAGCCTAGCTTTAGCGAAGGCTTTCAGCACTTTCCAGTCTCCTGCAGAGCTGAGCTCTAGCTGAGGGTCCTGGTGCAGACACCACAGTGCCCCAGGCTAACAGCAGCATTTCCCAAACAAGGCTCTGTCAGAATTCAGGCTGGAGCTTCACACAGTGCTAGACTCGGCCTGATTAACTTCCTATGTTGTAAGAGGAACTCAGTCACAAGCTCAGATCCAGGATTTCCAGTTCTACACAAGCTCAGAACTCAGGTCTGCTGAAATGTGGAGCTGGGGGATGCCCCCATTTTTGCACTTTTTGTATTCAGTGAAGACACATTTCACCTGTGCCATGTAACTTTTCATTCAGTGGTTCTTCGGTGGTTCTGGAGGTGCTAGACAGATAGCAAGAGAGAATTTCTTTTGGACAGAATGACATTCTCAATACTGTCTAAGCATGACATTTACAAACAAAGCAATTCTGGAATCCTATAATTGCACCTGACAACAACTAAAAGAAAAAAAAAAAGAAGCTAATGCTAATCTAACACATATTTAAAGCAACCTTGCAGAAGAATAGCAGCACAATAAATTCTAAATATTAGCAGGTTACAATGAAAATGCCAACCAGATTGCTAGTGTACTCTAGTAGAAGCAGGATGGTCTGTGAGCACAGCAGTGTGTGAGCACTCTTCACAGAGAACACCGAGATGTACTCAGGGCAGCCAGCACCCTCACCATGGCAACTTTATCTCTTACACCCACAGATTCTGTGTGCCAGGGTTTCTCTCCAGGATCCCCTTCAATCAGCATTTCCCTGCCTATGTGTTTAACCACATCTTCCAGAGTTCCTTATCACAACCATTGATCCCATGCCTTCAGAAGGCTGTCACTGCAGCAGGCAGGTGACAGAGCCTGTGTGGGAGCCCACCTCCTCTCCCTGGGAGTATGGCATGCCACCCCTGCAATACCTTTTGAGAATGGAAGAAAATAGGAGCCACTGATTCATTTGATTTGAATTTTTTTCTCCTGCTCGAACTTCATCACCAATGGATTTCTCATAAAATAAAGAGCGTTTCTCACTCACAGCCAAGGAATGACAGACTTCAAACCCAAATATTTTGAGTATTGAAAGGAAAAATTTTAGACCAAGAAAAAATTTAAAAAAACCATTAAGGCAAAGATTTGGCCCCCCCAATATCCAGAGTACATTTCCACCATAAGATTTTAACTCTTATTTTATTAAAATAATAAATAACATTAATTAAAACATTTGAACGCTAAGACTAAGCTAAAATACCACTAGAGGAAAATCTAGCCCTTATTTTCTCATTCAGCAGCAGCTAAAAGATCCAAGAATTGCCATTCTTTGCCATTTGGGGGAAAGAGTCAAGGCAGAAACTACTTGCTGCAGAATGAAAAACAAGAAACCCCGCAGAGCTACACAGAAAGCCACAGGGGAGATTTAGGCCTCGCAATATTAGACTCCAAAAAGCTGCCTGCTCCCTCCATGAGGCAGAGAATGGCTCTTATACTGTGCTAATGCTACCTAAACCATCAGATGTCTTCTTTAGACTCCAAGAGGCTCTTCCTGCAAGAACCACAGGCAGGAGGAGACAAGAGTGCAGCTGGCAGGTTTTCCCCAAAGTACCAGTCTGAGCCCAGCTGCTGCCAGATTTGGATCTCTCTGAATTACACTGCAACAAACCACAGTGCACAACCTGCTCATACACAATGCTCCTTTCAAAATCCCAGAAAACTGCTGTTTGACTTATGCCAGAACCACTTAAGGGCTTCTGGCTTCAGAGTTTATTTCCTTTAACCAGGGATGTTCTCCTTGACTGGGCAAAGGACTTGTATCATGTCAATTCTGACCCTGCAGCCTGCCCAGTCTCAAATGATATTTTGTGGTTCTGCAGTTTTTTCAGTGTGTGCTTGCTATGACACTTGCAGTAATTTTCACAGAATTACCAAATCCTTACAAACTTCAGGCCTTGTTTGAGGACTTGGGTACAAGTTATCTCTTGGTAAGAATTTTAAATTTTTGTTTCTCTCAGTTTCTCTTGCTGCCTCTTCATTCTCACATTACAAGAAAGAAAAAAAAAGAGGCCATTCAGTTCATCTTCTGTATCAAGCATTATTCTGATCACACCTCTGTCGCTCTTCTGGCACTCCCATTCTTTTCAGCTTCTTTCTTCAAAGGCAGTCCTTTCTTGCCATCCTACTAATAATTTTCACTACCAGCTTTTAAAATCCCTTCTATTTCTCATGTCTTTTCTAATGCAGTGACCAGAAGTGGCAGCATACCATATGCTAATAGTAACATTGTTACATTTTCAGTGTTATTTCTGTTTTATTCTCCAGACACTCAAATATCTAATGTGCTTTTTAACCACTGCTGTGCATGCCAAGAAAAGGTTTTCATTGAACTGTCTATAACAATATCCAGATATTTTTCCTGAGCAGTTACAGTTCATTATATCCGACAGGCAGGTGCATTATTAGACTCTGGTTTCCAAGGTACAGTACTTTCTATTTGTCAACAATAACTTCATTTGCCCCCTTGTTTATCAGGCAGCCATCCTCCTTTTGTTCCCTTTCAAGCTTTGCCTTTTTTAATCTCAATACATGCACATAAGGTTGTACCATCAATAATTCTCTTCCCCACAGTCATCACTCTGTGTAGATCACATTTGCTAAAATATGCACAATTTCACTTTTAGTAATGGAACACCCCTCTGTTAGCCTTTTGTCATGCTTAAAATTGCTAATTCCTTCCTACCCTTTGTTTTACTGTCTCTTGGTGAATTTCTAATTTGCCATAGTACATCACATTGCTTAATTTATTTGGCAGCTTCTCTGTGAGAAGCTTTGCCAAAGGCTTTTTTTATAGACCAAATAAATTTCAACTGATTTTAGAGTCCATGATTTTCCTGACGTGCTCAAAACATCTTAGTAGAGGAACATATGATTCTCTTTTACAGAATCCACATGTCCCTCTCCTATCACATCCTTTGTATCAATGTGCAGGTTTTTCTGTTACTTTTGTTGTTTTGGTTTGGGTTTTTTGTTGTTGTTCTTTTTTTTTGGTTTTTTTTTTTTTGTGGACATTGTAACTTTCCTGGTATCATAAGCCACTTCTTAAGTCATATTTTCATACTTCTAAGCTACATCCCTGCTGATTTACCAGCCATACACATGTACCACAGTTACAAATACAGGTGATCCCACCAAAGAGGGTAAAACAGGAGTAGGGGTGAGGAAAAGGGTGACACAGGCACATCCTGCAATTTTGTGGTACTGCTGAGGTTGATCTTTTCCCTTCCCCTTCCCTAAAGCTGGGTAATGCTTTGCACAGACTCTACTTTCTGGTTATGAGACACAGGCATTCACGTTTCTTTTGTGGGATTATTTTAAAAACTGAGTACACTTTCCATTTTAACATCTAGCATGTGCCCTCTGCTTTTTCATTTCATGCTCTTTTCCAACAAATTCCCTCATTTTTAAAATATTGCATTTTCAAAAGTTTAGTGCTGTGTTACTAGTTTTGATCTGATCCTTCCCCTTAAGACACATATGTTATTTATATAGTATTTTCTTTTTTACAGTATTTCCTTGCTTTGCTTGAAAACAAGGGGGAAAAAAGGTCTCTCTGCAGTGCTGGCCTGGATTAGGTGTTAAAAAAATTATTTTTTGAAAAGATTTAAGGTCCTGTCTTATGCTTGTCCCATATGCAAAAAGTGAGATTAAAAGGGAGATACTTGAAGTCATTTCTGTGCCTGTCTGAGACTCTGGGCACAGATTTTATGTGTTGAAAAGCTATGCAAGTTTTCATTAGCTCCCCTCAGCTGCTGGGGAGGTCATGGAATCACAGGTGCCTCCCAGGGGTCTTCAAGTTTAACTTAAAAAATTAACAAAACCCCCTCCCACAAAACACATTCAACCTCCCTCTCCCAAGAGGTGAAGATGCTTTGAAAAGAACCAGTCCTATACTTCACCAAAATGGATTAGGAAAGCTCATGCAGTTATCTGGCACTAGCTGAGGAAGAAAGAAAAAAAAGCAAATCACCAAGGGGAACTGAACACCTGGCCCCATTCCTCAGGACCTTTCCTGATTCCTGCTATCATGTCATTAATAGGCTCCCTAACTGCAAGGCTGATCATAACCCTCTTTGTTCTAGGCAAGAACATTAATCTGGCTCTCACTGAGATGGTTGCTCTTCACAAGTAGGAAAATCCTGTGGTTGAGCATCACATGTCCTGCCGACCACTGCACTGAACCTTCCTGTTAAGCTTCATCTTCCCTCATTTTCTATCAAACTCTCATGTTTCACCACATGTCCACAATGCCAAACTTCTTTTCCACTGCTACAACAGATAGCTCATCCATTCCTGCCTTATGCCTATATAGCAGCACAAGGAACAGTTATAGATATTGGTTTTGGCCATATGCTCCTCTTCTTCACTGCCCCTTCCAAGTGCTCAGCTAATATCCTGTTGCTTTCTTGGAACATATCTGGATGATCTCACAGCCTATCTGTCCACCAATTGCTGAGGAAGATATGTGCATGATCCAAAGGCACCAATTGGCCAAAGTCTGACTGGTGCTTGTGGTATTGCTCTGAGGAAAATGTAATCCCTACCAGGAAAACCAGAAAAGCTTAACTACATCTTGCTGAATTACACCACAACTTTCCATTGCCTTCTGCAGAAGAAGTACATAGTCTCAAGAAGAAAACATATTCCAACCGAACATATATTTTGATAAATAGAGAGAAGGACTCAAGAATAATACTTACTGCCTGCTTGGACAAGACACCTCTCTCAGTTACCCATTCATTTTCTCCAGCTTCATTTTCAGTTCAGTGCTCTCAGCATCCCTGGAAACCATGCTGTGATACCAGAATCAGCTCCCCCCACATTATTGGGAATAAGAGCCCAAACTTGTAGTTATGCATGTGCTACAATTTGCCTCCAAAAAAAAACCTAATAAAATTCTGCACTACATCTATTTTAGAATTTTTATAAGGTGCCTATCACTGTGGAATCTAAACGCAATATAACAATTATAGTTAACACTCCATGCCTTAAAAGGCAGGCTACTCAGCCCCCCTTGTTTGTTGTGTGTCTGTGTGGAAACTTTCCTTCTGTTTCCCTTCTTGCTCCTTTCACTTCCTCGCCTCCAGTTGTGAGCTGGCCCTGGCAAAGTGCCCTTAGTGGAAGAAAGCTTCATCCATGAGGTGGGTAGCACATGCAGATCTGAATACGGGTCAGGGCTGGAATCAGTCCAGCTCTCTATTAAGATTCTCTCCATAGCAGGGGACAGAACCCCAGAAATGTTGGCAATGTTGTGTTCTGGGTCAGTCACATAGACATATTACAATTATCATAAAATTACACAGTGTATATATATTATATAGTTATGGGTCATTAGCCTAAAGACACAGTAAGGAAGGCCCATGTGGACACACAGACCACTCATGGAAATTAAATCGCCAAATAACCAGTTTCGGTGGAGAATGCCTACAAGACCCTAGGAAAAAAAAATAAGGCGGTTCAAGCTCATGGCTATGTTGCCTAGTAGGACACAAAAGCAAAATAATCAGATTTTGAGGACTGCAGCTGAACAAAACACATTTTGCCTCTTATCCTTATCAACAGAGAAAAAAAAATGAAAACCAAAGAGTCGCATAAACAAAGATTTTAAGGTAATTTACCTTCCCCTGGAAAAAAGCTTGGCTTGTTACAGCATCCTGGAATAAAAGTTAGCTTGTAATGAATGACACCAGCCCAGTACCTTAGTTCTGAGTGGCCTTTTTGGTTTTGAAAAATCTGTCTTCACCTGTAGCCGCAGCTGACACATGGGGAGAAATGGGTGGAGAAGCAGAAGCAGCTCTACCTTTAAGGGCTGCCTGCCAGAAAGGAAACAAGGCCAGGTAGCTCCCAAAGGATACTAAGGAAATAGGAAAACCAACACACCCAGCTGGCATAACCAGAACACTGCATCCTAAGTAGTTCCCAGCTGTACTGTACCATTTCTGGTGAGCATTTAGTCCATTTTGAATGCTGTTGGCAATGTTGTTCCAGTTTTTATAATAACATATACATATAGATTTAAAGGCAGCACTGTTTATCATGGAAAAAGAAATCTCATTAAAAAAAAGTTTTTGTTATCAGTTTAGGATAAAATCCTGTTACCAATTTATACTTCCAACTAAAGGAATTCAAATTATGTCTGACACTTTTGGACAAAGACTAACATGCCCCTTCCTCATTCACCTGCTTCAGTTTTGATGTGATAGAAAGTAATTCTATTAATGGCTTAGTCAGTTGAGAAAAGTGTATGAAACTGAAACTAACGTCAAATATTATCTTTCAGATTGTTGTGCTTGTGATTCTTTGCATCTATCTGTAAGACCAAAAAACAAATGCAAACCACCTGGTTTTGTAAGACAATTGCTTTCACCTCAAATAAGGACAGCTCTGCCAACAAAGATGCCCAAGTCCATCATGACCTTTATGACTGGACTGCAGTGATGGAGGAGACTTCAGCTCAGGCCTCCACAGTAAGGCTGAAGGTGGCTGCAATCTCTTACACTGAGTCAAGCAAGCCTGACTTTGACCTCAGGGGTTTCTAACTAAGCATTACCCAGTCACAGTCACAATATTACCAAATAATTAACACTGCATGCTACATGATTGTACAAGGAAGTATGTTTTATTCAGATGCAGGCTCAGTTAATGAAAGCATTAATGCTGGGAGGGGAGCAGAAAAAGGCACAAGGGGCTCAGGAAGCCATCACTTTAAGAACACACAGAGATGGTGAAAAAGTCCCTGATTTTGTCCAACATCCTACCTGTGACCACCTGCAGAAATCACCATGCCAAAAAGGAAGGGATGGTCCGTCAACCTTCAAACAACATTTTTTTTTCCAAAAAGGCAAAAAAAAAATTAAAAATGCAGAGAACAATTATTTCTGCAGGGAACAATAGGGATGTCCTTTACAAAGCAGGGGACAGCAACAGGTCTTTGCCAGGGAGTAATAAGCTTCTAGGTGATGCACACTTCTCTGCAGGTTGTCAACAGCTGAAAACAAACAAAAACTCCCACTTTCTTTCCATGCTGGGTTCCCATCCTATCTATTCATCCTCTGCTTAGGTTGGCCATCTGTGCCCTCTAGTCAACATGGAACAGCAAGTCCTAAAAGAGAGAGCCAAAATCACTGAGTTTACTTGGTAAGGATTAGCATGATACACTGAGGATGCCTGGGAACAGGGCACTGATCTACAGTAGAAGTGTTAAGGAATGAGCCTTCAGACTATAGGGGGATGATTTAAGACCTAGCAACAATTTAAACCATAGCAAGATCTGATGTTGTGACAAGAGGAATCTGAATAATTTACACAGAAGGGAACAGCTTCTTGAGTGTAAGCAAGGCCATACTCTCATCCAGTAAACCAAGATTCTGCAATAGCATGTATGAAACCTGAACAGGCATTTCTGTCCCCCCTCACACCAGTCTGATACCCTGTTACACACATTCATCTAAAACAGAAACAATGGTAATTATAATAAAATATTTCACTATTATTATAAAACTCAACTGCATTAACAAGAGAAATGTTTTCACTTCAGCTTATCAATCAAAGGGCTAAGAGGACAGGTAACCATTTTAACTTCCTCAAGAATATTCTACAGCTTGCAAGACTCAGCACTTTCTGTTGCAACCATGTAGTACTTCAGCTAAGCAGACAATCAGTTTCTTCATGTTTTTATATTTTTCTGTATCAACACAGATGTTGCTTCCTTCAGAAGGTCATTTTCAGCTTGAGCACAAAACTTAGTCTGAGTTAAAAACACATTTTAAACCTGAAAACAAAATATTACAGTATGATCTATCATTCATTTTGGTTTGGATGATTCACTTCTGAAATGCCCACAGTTAAAAGCTACAGCAAGAAAAAAGTTAAAACTGCAGGCCTGCCTGTAGAAAGTGATGGAGAGATCCCTGCTAGAGCTGGCCAAGGTGGTTTGCCCACTTACAGTGAGACACTGGCATGCAGGGTTATTATCATGCACTGGCACCCTGGGAGTAGCACTGAGAGGACTGTGGTGTCACATCCCAACCAACATCCCTGCTTCTGGTGCTTCCAGGTCTGGAACTGAATCAGCCACATACAGCTTGTGCTGCACCCAACTGACATAACCCAAGGCAGTTTCCACATTGCATAAAATGGAAAGGCCAGCAATGGAATGAAAGTGATTTCTTTCTTTTCATGGCCTCTTTACTTAAGTACAGGCATCATTTGTAGTACAGCCAGGGAAATTTTGTTCTTGCAAATGCAAATGAAATAGCTTTGTTATACTATCACTTTTTGACTGATGATTTGAGTATTTTGATTGTCAGTAAAGATTTCCCTTACCTTCATGTGTGATTTGAGATTGTCCTTGCGTGCACAGCGGAAAGGACAGAGAGGGCACTGATGGCTCTTCAAACCTGTGTGAATCACCATGTGCCGTTTCCAGTAGCTCTTCCTCTTGATAACCAAACCACAGATGGGACACTGGAAAGGTTTTCCCCCTTCTTCTTCTGAGGCTTAGCAGGAAGAAAAAGAGAGGATCCTTTACAGCCACTTGTCAAATACTTTCCCCTTGTAAACATGCTCAAGATATCATTTCTCAATGATTTCTCAAGTTTCATCTGTAAAGAGACATGGTTGAACAACAACAGGTATCAGAAGTTTCCATTCCCCCCTGCATATACCTTTTCCCCTGGATCTAGTTATTATCCCTCTGAGAAAGGTCACCATAATTTATAAAGGTTAATGCTCCAAACTTCCTTTCACTAATCAGTAGAGGATGCTACTCTCTCTCACCTGGGTCCTAATGTTCCTTGTAATTGAACTGCACTGAGATGAATGCCTCTCATAATCATCACTTTTCGGCTTCATTTCCTATCAAAGGCTGGTTGTAGCAGAGTATAGAAAATATGCATAACTGTTAAAAAATGATCAATTTCCACATGTGATGGTTAGACAGCAGCATGGAAGAATCCACAACTTAACTGAAAAGCATTCTGGTATTGCATGACAGATATATTTAACACCAGAACTGAAAGACTTTGGAAGTCCTGCTGCTGAAATGGTTTAGTTATGGCTCAAGCAGATACTGCTGCAGCATCAGCCATCAAAGGTCTCCAGGTCATAGGTTTCCTTCTGCTCCTCTAATTGCCAGGGCTTTAAATCTACTGCCTTTCTAAATGTCTGCACTCTGCTTTACTGCTCAATTCACCTAAAAAAAGGATTTGGTGGCATTGATCAGGAAAATATGGTTAGACTTCCAATTGCAGAACCATCACAAGGCTGAAGGAGAAATTCCCTGCTGCTGACTTTGCACAACTAACCCTCGCATCCATCCAACCTCTCACAACAATTTCCTCTCATTATTATAAAGGAAGGCCTACTATTACAGTGGAACTGGATGTCCTTTTCCTCACTGTAAAAGAAAAGACTGTTTTCAAATACCCAGAGCTCAGCAATGTGCATCTTGCTATTCAAAAATTCTCTCAGACTATTTAATCTCATTACTATCACTGATAAGAATCTAGCAAATATCAAATTCCCTTGATGAGGAACTAAGTGATAAAAACCTCCAGAAAGATCTGTCTCATCCCGAAATACAATTCTTGCAATTAAGTAGGAAACAAACTCACTGTAATTCAACTGATTAGGCAGTCATTATGTAAGTACATAAAGGGACACAATGTCAAAGCATGTACTATTGCAAGTTCAGAAATTCTCCTTGTAAAATATTTTATCAGACCTAAAATATCAAATAGTTCCCCTCTCTGACTCTCTATAAAGAGCAAGCCAAAACCAATGCCATAACTGCTTATGTTTGTTTTAAAATATTTTCACTTTTTTCTTCACAAAAGGCAGGAGAGAGACAAACCGCAGAAAAAAATACGTGGGTGGCTTTTTTACCTATCATGTCTTTTCTTTCTGTCACATATTTTCTTCAGCCTCTGGTTATCACCCAGAAGAGAAATGTGTAACAAGATATCACCTGGTTTTGACCCCCTTAAAAATAAATCTGCAATCAAGATCAATCAATGGTGATCTAGCACATTACAAAATATGCAAGCAAGTGGGATGAATGCATGTGACCTTACCAATAACAGTGCCAATTAGTGTTACTCAGGAATTGTGCCAGTGTGCTCCAGAGCTGAACCATGTTAGCTCTATACTGCATGAAGCTCAGAATAAAATCAGGGGTTTCAGCTTTCCTTCATTTATATTGATGTCTATTTTATATCACAACAGTACTTCAGTGAGGAGAGAATCAGCCAGTGCTTCCCAAAGAAGTTTTGGGAACACAATTACAAGCATCACAGGCATTAAGGTACACCAAATAAGTATTCAGTCAGTAAAAGAAAGGTATGTCACCCACACTCTTTCAAAACAACCAGAACTTAACAGATATTTCAGGCTCCCTTTTCAACTTCATCCCAAATGTGTAAGCAGTTTATAAAACTGGCAATAGTAACAGATTGATAGAAAAGTTAATCTCCTCTGTACCAATTTACTATAATAAACATGCAGGTCATGATTAGGCTGACCAAACCTGACATGCCATTTCAGAGGCAACTACACTCTGATAAGCCATGGCTCCAGCTCCTTGCCTGAAATAATTCTGAGCAAATAGCTCAATGTGGTGGACTAAAGAGCAGCAGGCATGCTCTTGTTATTAACTTACTCCTCTTTAAATAGCCTCCATCCTTGCTGTTCCTTACTTACATCTAATTAATCTACTGAGTATTGATCTCATAACCAAAGCTACACATTGCTGGTGGGGAAGTGAATCAGATCCATAACAGCAAAGCAAACTCATCAGTGTAAAAGTTCAATGTGTGAGTCTGGGGAAAAAGACCTCTCAAGCTATACCTACTGGGAAAAGATAATTCTCTCGTGGTACAAGACAAAAAAATCTCAAGGAACAATCAGACACACACAACAAGGTAAAGCATTATATAATTATATACCTTTTTTTTGTTTTGGATTTTTTCAATATTTTCATGCCATAAGGTTTTCTGAGCAAAAGGAATCAGGAATATGTAACATTTATTTTCACGGCAAATGTACACATTCAGCTTTTAGCTTATGTTACTCTAAAAGGACTTCATCTGAACTAATGACAACCTTCGGCCAGGCCCATGCCAAGAATAGTTTGCCACTTTAATTGCCTTGGCAAAACACAGCAGTTAAGCATTTGCAGAACACATGTGTAACACAGAGCAAAAACTGGTACTGGCTGTTACTCATTGCATCCCTCCTCCTCCTCTTCCAAGGGAGACATGAGCACTGTCCATCCAATAGCTACTAAGCTATGCTAAACTTCTAAACTATGAGTGTTGACCATGAGCTGCACAGGGACACACTGGGCCTCAGGAAACCCCTAAACAAAGAGGTTAGGGCAGAAAAACAGCAGGGCAATTACACAACATGCATGTCAGGCTTCATATCTGTACACTGGCTTGCCACACCTGTGCAGCCAGGCTAGTACTCCTGATAAAACTCAGCCTGATAAAGCTGGAATATACTAAACCACTTTGTGCATCTCATGAAGATATCTGCCATGCTTCCTTTTCCTTTGCAGCAGAACACTGATGACACCTGAAGCCATATGCTCCACCAGAAATTTGAATCCGTGATGTGAACTTTTTATAGAAAGAGATGAAAGAAATTATTTTTCCTTATTTTGAAGATGGATCATTTAAATTCCCCTGCATGGCTTGCCAGCTCTTTAAAGCTTTTGTTACCCAGACAGTTTCTTCTTATTCCCTATAACCCTGATTCCTTGACTGTCAACAGCTGGAACTGATGAAGGAAAGTCAGATGTGTAAAATGGTTCTTGTTGAGCAAATTAGAGAAATGCAGTTTAGTTGGATTTTTCTTTTTTTGTTAACAACAAAGGATTGTAAAAAAAAAAAAACCTAATGAAAAGTGGCAACACAATAATATACTCTGGTAAATTAGGACAGGATAGTAAGCGATTACACAAAAGTCCATTTGTGACAAAGACAGCAGGAGGGAGAATTCTCCCTTGTCCAATATTTCAAAAGCACTAGTTATGTACATGCTCACTGATACTGTGAGCTCCCTCACAGGGATTCTTTGATCTTCTCCATTAAATATTTTTGTGGACACATTCTAAACTTGGTAAGAGAGGAAAATACTATTGTATGGAATAAAAGGGGAAAAAAATGTACCAAACTGTACACTGACACCTTTAAAATAGGGAAACATTTGTGACAGCTTGGTCTCAAAGTGGTACTTCAAAAAGCTTTTCTATTGTTCACCTAAAGTATTTATTTCTTATTTTCATAAGACATGGAATCAAACCAAATCCAGACCCACTGAAGAGATGTTATATAAGCCTATAGCAAAACAAATACATTCTACTTCATGGTTCAAATTGTATCCATACCTGCACTAGTGGGTTTGGATGCTCTTCCCTTCGGGACTGGTAGTAACAGTAATTCCAAAGACTGTGGTGGAGTTGCTTTCTCTTGTTTCATCTCTGAAAGCTGCAGAGGATCCTCAGGAACCAGTGATTTCTTCTTCTCAGCCAGGAGGGTGCCCGCAGCCCTTGCAGCAACCTCCTTGAGAAGGGCAGCTGAAGAGGTCATGGAAGCCAGGGAAAGGAAAGAGCTGGCTGGAGGTGGATGCTCCTGCCCAGGAGTCATGCTTCTCTCACTCACTTTCTTAGATAAAGCTGCTAACGTGGAGCTGGCTGACTGAGAGCTAAAAGGCGAGGAAAAGGATTCGAATCGTATCGTGTCCTCAGTCCTGGAAAAAGATTTGTCCTGCAGAACGGCATTGGCTGCGGCTTTCAGCTTCAGGATAGCTGAATCAGGGGACAAACCACAGGTGGTGGTTGAGTTTGGCAACCACTTACCTTGATTCCATATAAAGTGACTGCCTGCATTGTATTGGTCACTTTGTTCCTGTTTCTCAGCAAGCTTTCTGGCAAGCACACTTAGCTGCTGGGCATGGTGAGCAGGTGGAGAGAAGGAGATGTTGGAGCCAAGATTTGCAGGGGACTCGACTCTGCCATTGACTGTAACAGCAGCATCCAGCTTGAGGGAGCCAGCCTCCAGGAGCCGCCTCAGGTTACTGCTCAGTGGCTTGTTTGGACCAGGAGGTTCCTCTTCACCCAGAGAGGACACATCTGGAGAAAGGTGCTCCTTGCTCTGTAGTGTGTCCCTTAGTGCCTCATTTTCAATGGATCCCAGCTCCGCTGTGTTGCTGCTCGGCGTCACACTTCCCAAAGAGGTATCGGGGGAGGTGGACTGCTCTTGAATTCTGTCCTCAAGAGACAACTTAAAGTTCTCCTGGACTTCTCCATATGATGCTTCCGAAGGAGTTTCTGAAGAATTCCCAAACCAGCGTTCTTCTTCACTGAGCTCACCTTCCACTTCTTCCTGTCTGGTACCATCTGTGTGGAACCATGAACAACAGCATTATTCCCAAATCTGTGTAAAGCAGTTTCTTAGCATGAAGCATGCCTGACCTCTGCATGACCCCCCTGAATAGTCCCCTAGCACACTCCCCTAAAGTGCACGGGCTTGGAATCAGCCTGGATTCAGTGACCAGAAAAAAGAGCTTTTCAAAATGAATAAAGCTTTCTTAGAAGACAAAATGATGACAAACCTGTCATCTTTCAGTCTGCATAACTAAAGCAGCTAAAACTGCAACAATACACATAAACATTATATATATTCATGTATTGCAAACAATTCTTTATTGGCATAGTCTGTACATCCTGCAAAATATTATGAAGTCTCTGGTATAAGGCAGGGATTTAACAGATCAGAAAGTACTGGATACTTCTGTATTTTTACAGCCAGCACAGGTGTGCCTTCAAAGGCAGATCAGGTGTGTAGCTACTCAAATCTCAGACCAATACTGCAGTGACCCCTATCTAAAATAAAATAAAATAAGTTTGTACTAATAATTCACAATTCATTCCTGAATAGCTGCAATGACTAATACATGAAAGCAGACTAAAGCTCTTATCACTCCAGCTACTTGGGAATAGAGTATCACACACACAGTGTTGTCATATGCAGACTCTAGTTACTCTTATTTATTTGTCACTGTTTAATAAAGTTTTAAAGATCATCCTAAACTGAACTTAGTTCAGCTGAAAAGAAAAAAGAAGCAAAAGTGTTGGTTCCACTGCAGTTAAGTTACATTTTCTCCTTTCTGGTAATTGCAAAACACCTGAGACCTGGCACTGTTTAAGGAACTGTGACCCTGGATTGCTCCTCTTCCTGACAGGTATTCAAAGTCATACAGATGTGACCAAGACTCTTTTTTTTTTTTTTTGCCAGATCTTCCTGCCCAATCAGAACACAGTAAAGAACAACAGCAATGCTAGAATTAAATTTATATTATCTCCTCTTGCCAGATACATCTCACATTTCTTGCTTTTAGACACAATGTCCCAAGCTGCACAAGCATCTTTGTAATCACACTACAGCAAGACAAAAGTATTTAATATAACCCTCCACTGACACTCTGGAAATAAGCCTGCATGATATGCGTTGTGTCTATGATCAAGTATTATTCCCAGATTCCCAATTTAATTCCAGAAAATTACAAAACTTGGAAAGAAGTTAATGAATAAAACTTAGATTTCTATTATTGCTTTGATCCAAAAAAATTTAAGGAGGAAAACCTCAGACAAATGTATCTTGAATACAGAGATACAAATGTACACTCTGAAAGCAAAGTCTTTGGAGTTTTTTATGTTATTTAGAATATGAAGCACAATCTCTCACAGAAAGTTTCTTTTATTCAAAACCCTTTGGAAAAAAGTCAGCAATATTTTAGAAGCTGGCTATAAACTCAATTACCTTAGGTTTGTAATTCAAGCAGAAGAGGGTTAGCATATTCCCTTTTCAAAACAAAAAACAAAACCAAACAAACATCCAAGCTCTTAGCCAGAATTATTTTGGTATTGTCAAAGTTAACAACACAGGCTCAGCAATAACATGTGCATAAAGGCCAAGTACCATGCACATTCAAATAAAGGAGAGCAATGCTAATCAGTTGAACCAGCACTTATGTAGGTTAAAGGAGAACTGAATGTATTCCCTCTTCACCCCATGAACATTAAAAAAGTAACTTGAGCATGTCTGTACAGCTGGGTGCACTCACATGAGAGATCCATTCACTCATCACAGATGGAAACAAGTTTGGAAGCCAAAAAAGCATCTTACTGGCACTTTGTCTGAACTCATACACCAAGTGCAGGGCACCTCCTCTGGGACACAGCCTGGAGCTGACACCACTACTCAGCTCTGGAGCCAGAGCTAGTCTGCTTCCTACCACTCATCTGTCTGTTGAAACAATCTCTCCTCTCCCCTGCAAACTCCACTCTCTGTCTCTGCACTTCTCATCCTTTCATAGGGAGCATGGCATTTCCCTTCACCCAGAAAGCCACTCAAACATTACAGTCTGAGGCATATTTAAGTGTAAATGGATCTAAGAAGTAGTGGACTTTTCGAGAAATCTACAGCTTACTAAACCCCCAAACTTCTCTGTTCCTTGCCGTGTACACCTCAATTTCTTTCTTTTTCCAGACATGCACATTCCCCATTGGTCTTGCCTATACAAAAGGGCAGCCACCACCATGTTATTGACAGGGAGCAGCAGGAGAGCAGGATTTTTCATTTAAAGGCTAGCTCCCAAGCTCAGGATTTCCCTTCTCTTCAGGTAACACACTGAGAGCTCCCTCTCCTGTTGCTAATCTACCTGTGACCACTCAAGGCCTCTCAAAGCTCCATGCAATTTCTATAATAAAGGGTAAATTTTCTCTCCAGTCTCACTATCCCAAAAGCCAGCAGGATACTTTTTTTTTCCACCAGTGCAGTTTCTTTCTGTAGCCAGAAATCAGACCTCTAACTGCTGACACTGTTCTAATTTTCCTTTTCTCAGTAATTCCCAGTTGCTGCAGCATCAAGCCCACTGTATTTGAAGGCTGTAAGGTTAATGCTGAAAAAGCCAGCATCAGTGTCTTATCATGAGCTCAGTCAAGCCTCCCTTTAAACACCAGTGAATTGCTTTAGAAGCAGAACACTGAAGCCTGGCAATTTCATTGCTAAGCAAAGTTGCCTTTGAAGGCCTTCAGGGCAGAATTTTAATTCACATTGACTTGTGAGCCTGTGAGTTTGAACAAGCTTGAGCACTCCAGGAGAAATCAACCCAACAACTTCTTTATGATTTCAAATTATATAAAAGCTTCCCTCAGAACCCAGGGGGTTCATGGGTCACCCAGACCAGGTTTGTCTGAAGCAACCTCCACATGTCTGTCAAGAAATTTCAGCTGTATTTCACATCTGTGGCAGAAATCTGCATGACACATTTTCTCCTTCTCTCACAACACAGTTATGGAGCTGTTCTCATCACAATTAAAGAGTCAAGACCTGTCATTACTGCTGCTTCCTGATTTCCAGAGTGATTCTGAACCGAGAACTGCTTCCCAAGCCCTTTGCCACTGGCAGAGGCTAGTTGGGAATGAGACTGCCTGCATGTTTCGGGACTATCACATTGCACACCACCCAGGAGCCTCAAAAAAAATAGTTTCCACTCTTGTCAGCAATGACGAAAGCACCTAAGTACTGCTGGGTGACTGCTGCCATTGCTGTGGCCCATGTATCCATCTCTGGCAAAGCCACAAATGTGTGCAGAAAGCACTGTTTGAAGAAGTGCCAGTTTCCCTCACTCGCCAACTCATCTGCTTGCTTTCAAATACAGAGAAGTTCATTTTCCTCTTCAAGAGATCAGTTTGACAGACAAATCTTATTGATCCCAAAGTGTGTTATTTCACTTTGTGACCATCTGCCCTTTTATTTAGAGTGCTGATTAGAATCTGACCCTGGTACCAATAGAAATGTAAATATTAACTTGCTCAAACTACTTATATCTGAAAACTGAAAAGGACAAACATGTTTGTTGATTTATACACTGAGTCACTCAGTTCAAATGCTGGAAACTTTAACTGTACCCACTGCAATGTACACATGCCATTCCAGAAAGTGGCAAGTGTGAGATGATCCACAGCTTTACTTTGTAGGACTTGGAGGGGAGAAATATCAATGTAGTGAGTTGGATCTCCAGGAAAGGGAAGAGTCTCAAAGTTGTGTTACTGAGCAACAAGACATGGGCAGCAAAAATATGATGGAAATAACACCATTTGAAACACTAGAAATTATCTGAGAAGAGACTACAGCTAAGGAACCCATCCTAGAGAATGATTTTTCATGCTAAGCAGGACAAAATTTTACTTTAATCATTCACTGAAATGAGTAAATTACAGAATTTCAATATAGAAATCCATATGCTGCAGTGATAGGAAACACGGAAATTGTAATGATGGGATTACAGAATGAAAATTAAAGCAAATGAAAAAGTAGGTAGAAGTAAAATAATTTCAAAGAAATGTGCACAGGAAAATTGCTCATGAGATAAATTAATCAAAATTGCCCTTTTTTCAGCACTTACATTTCAAGGAAAAACTGGGAACCTACAGAACCAAGATGTAAAGATCTAGGAGAGCCAAACCTCATCTTTATTATCTTGATATCAATTACCCTGATTTGCATAAGGATTTCAGATATGATCATTCAAGTTTGCATCAATCTAGTCAAGTTACAATTACATTTGTCGTCGATTTGACACCCAGATCATCTTCCTATTTTGCTGCCCCAACAACTCTATCATTTCATCTCTAGCACCTACCATAAACCATCCTTTGGATTATTTTACAGTGAACCCTGTACTTAGGCCTACTGAAAGAGCTGGGATTAAATGATAGCTTTACACTAGGGAACTGAGGAGCTCTGCAAAGATACCTAAAGAATTTAAAAGAACACATTAAACTTAAATGAAGCAGGAAGCCATCCAAGAGGAGTGCTGCAGAAACACTGACTGGCTCGGTTGAGCAATCAGTTTAAGGCCAAGTAAATAGGCAGATGCATCAAAAATAAGGCAGAAACAATACCTGAGCAAGCTAGGATTTAGCCTTGGGTGACTTTTATCAGTGACAGCAAGAAAAGTGGAATGAGCAAAGAGAAGAAACAGTTGACAACTAAGAAGGTGAGGATAACTGTAAAGGCTTTTAACCAGTCATGGACAAGGTAGTGAACTGGAATGCTCATACCCGGCCTCCAGGATGGGTTCTCTTGTTCCAGTCCTTCCTGACTGCGTTCTTAGAACCCTCAAATGAGGACTAGGGAATCAGGCCACAGGTCAGAATTCGCTGTCCTGGCAGTCTAGTTCAGGTTACCCTCTCCTGCTGGAACCCAGGTTCCATCATGACTTGTCATCACCATCATATCCAAACATGACATGTTTTCCCATCACATGGTAGCTGTTAATTCAAGATCAGTACAGGCTCTCCTTGTCCCCACCTTACCTCAGAAGACCAGA